AATAACTGATTGGAATACCTAAAAGGGGTTCTGGAACTTGCCCAGTGAAATAGGCCTCTTGTGGAGACTTTGCAGAGTATAGGATCTTAGGTGGAATCCTGAGTTCCATCCAGAACCTTCTGAGGTGGAACATTACCACTAGAAAGGATAAGCAGACCAACCTGGAATAGCCAGAGTGACAGAAGATACATCTTCAAAGAAAGATCATCAGGAAAAACCCAAATGTCAGTATGGCTGGCTACTACAAGATTAAGCAAGCTGTTCATCGGGAAGCCATCAAGGCAAGCAATCAAGTTCCTTCAGGACAACTCCCCCACCCCAAGACTGAAACTCAAAGGGAACACATGAACAGGCATGTAAGCTTGCTGGCGACCACATTGGTCTACTGGTGAGTGGAAGAGGAGGAAAGGTAGCAATGAAGAAATGGGCTGAGTTCAACCATAGTCAATTGACTTCCATTGACCTGGAGATGGGAGAGAGAAGAGGAAGGGCTGGTTGGTCCAATGTGTGGTGAGACCAGGGGACACCTTAGCTCATGGACAAGGACATAGCTGAGAGTGAAGCATCCAGCTGATATGAAGTGACGCAAGATGCACAAGAACACCCAAACTTACAGATAATAACCATTTGAACTAGCCTCGATGGCTTGACAATTAGTACTTGACTTGTTGTTGTTGTTGTCAGGTGCCATCGAGTCAGAACCGATTCATAGCGACCCCATGCACAGCAGAACTAAACAATGTCCGATTCTGGGCCAACCTCACTACCCTGCCACACTTGACACCATCAATGATGCCACCTGGCCAATCCATCTCGTTGGAGGTCTTAGAACTTGACTAGAGGAAGATTGAAAAAAAATTCTTTTGATAAAGGAAACAAGGGTAAATTGCTGCAATTTGATGAACCTGACCTATGCTCATGGAGGCAGTAACTGTAAATATCAACAGAGAGGGAAGGAATATTCACATCAAGTTATCAATGCTATCCCCTCTGTACACAGGGTAGATAGGGACGGACAACTTAGACATTGGCTCCCAAAAATGAGGGGCAATAAAGGCATGAAGTGACTGGCTTATAAGGTTTCAAGAGGGAGTTTAGTTTAAGAGTGTGGTGGGGTGGCGGGGGGGAGAAAGAGTCCCTACTGAATAGCTTTCATCTTGTGTAGATGGGTCTGGTGAAAAGAGATGGGGATAAGATTCTTATGATTCAATAGTGAGTAATTGTGATCATAACTAATTACGACTGTCACAATTGTAAAGGTAGAAGTTTTGTTACAAAAAAGTTTTGTAAAAAAAAATGGGGGAGTAGTTAATTTTACTGTCCAGAAACATCTAGGACCATCAAGGGAGAAGAGCACAAGTGGAATGCAGGACCTTATTCAGAGAAGCAGCAACACCAGAGATGGAGGCAAAGATGGGGACATGGAGAAGGGGGAGGCTGAGGACTCTAGATTCATTGGAAGATAGGGACTAAGAGATAGTGGCCAGAAGACAGATTTGCAGAATGTGCCCTTTGGTGGTGTAAATGATTATATATGCCTGAGTGTTTAAAAAAAAAAAAAAGAGCTAAAGTGAATAGAGAGAAATACTGTTAACTGAAGATACATGGAGGGGATTGTAATCATTGTGATGAAACAAGTTGTATGATTTGTTGAATGTAAAACTGATGTCTGCCCTGTAAACTTTCACTCAATCTAAAATAAAAACTTAAAAAAAATTTTTAAAAAGGAAAGGAGAAATTGGAAATCACACAAAAATAACAATTAGAAAGCCAGAAGATAATTTAGAATTAATTAATTCAGAAGAAGAATTTAGAAATAGTTAATTGAAAGGGCAAAAAAGTAGAATTCAGTCAATAGAAGGCTGAATTACTGAGTTGGGAGAAAAATTTCTAAACATTAATATGCTAGAGGAATAATCAGAAAAATAATAAAACAATCTGATGAAAGCCTAAGATTTATAACTTATGTGTGATTGGAGTTCCAGAACAGGAAGAGAAAAAAAAAATTTAGAGAGAGAAACCTGTCCAAGAATTGTTGGACGAAAATGTCCCTAATATCATACAACATGATATTCAAGAAGGTGAATGAACTCTAAACAGGATGACCCGAAAAGAAAATCACCCAGATTATAAGCAAATGTTTCAAAACCAAAGACAAGGAAAAAATCTTGAAAGCAGCTCTGAAAACAATGAAGATACTTAGAAAGCAGAACTAATAAGACTAAGCTCTGATTTCTCAGCAGAAACAACAGAGGCAGGAATACAATGCTGTTTTTGCATGCTGTCAAATTGGTTCTCACCCCATATAGGGTTCCTAAGGAGCACCTGGTGGGTTTCAACGGCAAACCTTGCAGCTAGCAGCGCGGTGCTTATCCTACAGCACTACAGCACCACACTATAACTCCAAGAAGACAATGGGATGACATATATAAAACTCTGAAATAAATTAATTGGCAACCAAGAATCACATACCCAACAAAATTGTCCATCAAATATGTTGGTGAAATTAGGACATTTCCAAATAAAAAGGAATTAAGAGAATTTGCAAAATCCAGACCAACATTACAAAAAGTACTAAAAGGAATTCTTTGGTAAGAGAATCTACAACAGTAGACAACAATCTGGGTGACAGTATCACTCAGAACTCAACGTAGATATAGAAGTATTTGAAGTCGAACAAACCTACAAGATTGAAAACAGGGAACCAAAGACACCAGTTTGCAGTAACAACAACAACAAAAAGTAAAGAGAGGGAATAATGTAGTTATAGAAATTCCAAATGAAGAGGAAATTAAGTAGATTTCAAGAAAAAATAAATAAACCTAACTCTGGTGTGGTGCTGAGGGTTAAATGTGCCAGACTTGCAAAGTCGTTTGAACTGCAAGGTCAGTGGTTGAAGTTTACCAGCTGCTCCTCGAAAACCCTACACACGGTCGCTATGGGTCGGAACTGACGCTACAGCACTTAACAACAACAACATAACCCTAAAACTAGACCAAATCTTAATCCTAGTCATAGCCAAACCACCAACCCAAGTCTTAACTTTAACACTAAATGAAGTCCTAGGTCTAACCTAGATCTAGCCGTAGTCCTAACCCTACCTGCTTACTCCTACCCCCTCCCTCCAAAAAGAATTAAAAGGGAATAGAGTAAATACTTTTGTTTGTATATACAATCTTGCAATAACATGATCTACAAGTAGATACATGAGCAAATATACAAGCTTTGTGTATCTGTTCATGCATGTATTTGTAGATGAATGGATATGGAAAGGTGAGTGGGAGTATACCCACAAATATATAAAGGCTTGACAGGATATGTGTCCATGGATATTTACTGCAATATATCCATGAATTTGGTGAAGCATACAGGGGACAAAATTATGAAAACTTCTTAAACATTATCAAATACCTTTGGGGAATGAGGTGCTGGGCCTGGGGGCTCAGGACCATAGTCTCAAGGGATACCATTGTCAATTGGTATTACATAGTATACAAAGATCATGTTTTACATCCTACCGTTGTGAGTAGCGACTGGTATCTTAAAAACTCATGAGCAACCATCTAAGAAGCAACTATTAGTCTCTCCCTGCACAGAGGAAAGAAGAGTGATAAAAATTGAAAATGCTTGGAATCAATTAGTCCAATCAATGGACGAATGAAACATGTGAATATCAGTCTCCACAACCCTGAGACCAGAAGCACTAGATGGTGCCCGGTTACAAATACCAACTGTTCTGAAAAGCATCACATTAGAAAGTCCTGGATAGAGTGGGAGAAAATGTGGAACAAAACTCAAACTTTTAAAATAGGCCAGGTTTACTGGTCAGAAAGAGACTGGAGGAACCCGAGACTATGGTCTGGGATTGAGCTCACCCTTGTGGCTCAGTTTGTAGCCAAGGTATACTTGGGGGACAACAACACTAGAAAGGTATGCACAACATGGAATGGTCAACTATTCAAGATCAAAAAGGCAGCATTTACCTAAGGACAAAATTCAGAAGTGTTGACAAAGTAGGTTGAATGGAAACAAGAATCACAGGAGATAATTGATGTTACCTTGAAGGGATTGCAATCGTTGAAATGAATTGAAGTGTATGATTTGTTGAATGTAAAACTGATGATCTGCTCTGTAAACCTTTACTTAATTCACAATAAAGAAAGAAACAAAAGATGTACGGTCTATATCTGGTCAGAAATTCTATACAGGGTCGTTATGAATCAGAATCGACTCAATAGCAGTGGGTTTAGTTTTGGTTTTGGTTATTTCTCAAGAGGTGAAGGAGATAATTTTAACGCTCTCTTCAGATTCTAACCCTTTATCTGATCCTCAAGTTCAATCAGACTAGAGTGGAGGTTTGAATGAAGCCTTGCAGATTCTGGAAAGTCTGAGATTTGAAGGCACTCTGAGATATGAGGAAAAAGAGGTGTAAGGGGTAGCACGGCTTCATTGCTCCTCCAGAGCCCCCGTTTTGCTGGGCTCAGGGTGCTACAAACTAGCCCTGGCCTAAAGTCACACACTTGGCGGTGGCACCAGAGCCAAGACTCACTACTGCACAACTCCTGCTGTGCCAGGCACGGGCGACCTCTGCCGTGTAAGAAGCGCATCGGCGATTGCCCATGAACCAACCCCGAGACCCCAAAAGACAGCCTGATACCCAAGGTCAGCTCCACAGCACAGAAAGACGAAGGGTTGCCGGCACGACCCGCGGGTCAGAAGGCAACAGCTGACCTGGCTTCTACCCCAGAGCTCGTGCAGAGCGCGGGCGGGGGAAAGAACAGGTGCGCGGGCGGGGGGCGGTGCTTGGGGATCCTGCGCAGTGCGCGCGCCCCTCCCCTGAGTGGCTCCCAGCGCAGCCCTGGCAAAGCGCGAGGAGGAGGAGGAGAAGGAGGAGCTGCGGCGGCCCTTGCCACTAGGGTATCGGCGGCGCTGCTGCGGAACACGCTGACTGCGCGGGCTGCGGGTACCGGTGCAAAGAAGGCGCGGGCGGCCCCAGGGCCATGGAGCCTAGTGACGCGGCGCGCTCTGGCCCGCGGCGGGCGTTCGGGGCGCTGCTGCCTAGGTTGCTGCTGCTGCTGCTGCCGCTGTTACTGGGTCGGGGGCTGCGTGCCACGGCCTCGGCCTCCTCTGGGGCGGTGGCCGAGGACAGCAGCGCCATGGAGGAGCTCGCAACCGAAAAGGAGGCGGAGGAGAGCCACCGGCAAGACAGCGTGAGCTTGCTCACCTTCATCTTGCTGCTCACGCTCACCATCCTCACCATCTGGCTCTTCAAGCACCGCCGGGTGCGCTTCCTGCATGAGACCGGGCTGGCCATGATCTATGGTGAGCACCCTCTGCCTCCAATCCATCCCCAACCTTTACCCATCACCCTCCAAACACGCTGCTGCACTCCTCCCTGCGCGGCACCGGGCTTCCCCTTCACTTGCCAACGTGTTTCTTTTCCCTTCCATTTCCCGCTGCGAAGGTGTTGGTTCCCAAGGTCACCTGTTCACGTTTTTCTGTGTTTCTGATATCGTTTAAAGCAAAAAACAAAGGACACAGCATTTCAACATTTCTTTACAGGGAACCCAGGAAATGACAGGCACAAAGGTGGACCAGTTGTGTTCGCCTGTTCTGTCTCTGTTGCGTCCCCCTTATTACCCACACAACACACCCTAATTCAGCTCAACACAGTGTGTGTGCAGGAGCAAGTAGGTGGCATCACAGAGACCTCACTACCCCCAGGGGGCAGGCCACAGTTGTGGTGGGGTTCAAGAGCTGAGGGTTTCTTGTCTTGGGAGTGGACTGGTTGAGCCTGTTTGGTGCTACATCCATGGCCAGACTTGGTGGGTGCCCACTTTTGAGGTCTGTTCTCAGGTTTCCTTTTAAAGTCAGTGGTGACCTGTGAAAGGTCGTCTTGTCCACCAAGCCATGTCCAATGGGGAGCTATGGCTTCAGGATAGTTGGGGAGAAAATCGGCCTGTGAATCCATCTACTGGCGCTTTTTCAGTTGAGCGTGAAGTACTGTGACAGGTGAACATGGTCTAGCATCCAGTGGTGCCTTATGGTGTCAGGCCCAGTTGCGGAGTTCTCCTGAGCTCATAGGTATGTTTCACTGGTAAGTTATACCCGGTTACTTATTTTCCCCATGAAAAGAGGGACTTTTGTATTCCTCAGATTGTAACATGAACGGGACTTTTAAAGATCTATTTCTGAGTGTATGGAAGGTGAAAACAGTGTTTTTTAATTCTGGAGTCAGCCACCTTTTGGGGGTTTAATTGAAGTTAGATTTAAATGCACTGTGGCCAGTACAAATCTGTTTTTACGTGGATGTCAGTTAGCCATAACCCTAGTCATAGATTGATTTGTCCTGTGCTTCCCGCTCCCAACTCACCTCCATACATGACTCAAACTGCAGTAAAATATTCTCTTTTTGAATTAATTCAATGGAATTAAAGCCTAGATTGGGATAATCATGTGATGACTGTTCTCAATAGGGAACATTTTATGTCATCACCTATACTGGAGGGATCTCTCCACTCACTTTCCATCCAGGGTTCCCTGATGGAAAATGGAAAGGAGACACTTTAATCTTTAATGTGAAAATTACCCTGGCCTTGGGCCTTGCTTCTCATGGTTCCTGGTTGGTTGTTGGTAGCTGAGTTCATGGCTACCAGGCCATTCCAGACAAACTGTGTATAGGCCAAGGTTGCACTGAGATGTAAAGAGCCCTCCAGTTTTGAAGAGGTAGTTGTCTAAACATCCTTGAAACAGGTTCAGGTCTAAAACTGAGTTTGGTTACTCCAAATAATACCTGGCTGTTCTAGAGCTCTGTGATCGTACGGGTAACTAACACATGACTCTTGCCAGGGTTGCAGGTAAGCTGGGAGGTTTCTTGAACAGATGGTGGGAGGGAGGAATGCAGCTCCCTTATCTTTTCAGGTGATTGACTCTGAGCTCTAAGGCAAATAAAGACTGCCTTAATAGGTATATAATATGTGTAAGGGTATTAATATTCTATTAACATTCTATTCCACTTCTTATGCCAACTCAGTGAAGAAATTCAATTCCTATTTAATTCAATTCAATTCTACTCACATGCAGTACTTTTCTTGACCCTAACCACTGGGAGCTAGGTCAGACCTCATGGGTTAAAGTGACTAGTTCACCAGAATGTCAAGTTTGCTTAAGCTTGGAGGCCCTCATTCCCTTTCACTTCTGGCCTGCTGACTTCCACTACTCCCTTTGTTGTTGTTAAGTGCCATTGAATTGGTTCTTACTCATAGCAACCCTGTGTAGGGTTTCTGAGGAGTTTGCTGGTGGATTTGAACTGCAGACCTTGTGGTTAATAGCCCAGTGCTTATCCTATAGTGTCACATCAGGATCCCATGACTCCACTGGGCTTGATAATTCACTAGAACTCCGGAAAGTGCTATACTTAAGATGACATTTTTATTATAGCAAAAAGGATACAAATGAAGACATTCATAGGGTGAAGTCTGGGAGGGTTCCCAACGTGGAGTTTTCATATCCCCAATGGGGATTTGATACCCTTTTGAGATGTTCATCGATGTTTCTCACTAACAAGGAAGCCCATCGAACTTCCGGTTCTAGTTTGTACTGGAACCTCATTATGTAGTCATGGCTGATTGAATCATGCCCCACTCTTAGCTGATATTATTCAGTGGGTCTTTCTGGTATGTCTAACACCTACCTGAGTCACCAGTCACCTTATTAGCACATCAATCAATGGGGAAATTACAAAGTTTTAGGATTATCTCTCAGGCACCAAGGACTAAGACCAGATTCTTTGGGTAACATTGATTTTAAACCGTAAAAATTGTGTGGGGGCGGCATGGAACCTTATCATCTAACTTCACAAGGTGGGAGGAGAATCATTCTCATCATTATCAGCATCAATTGCCCAAGGGTGATCGCTGTGAGGTAGAGGTCAGTTGTACTTCAACCCGCCCACATTCTTACCATATCCGATACCAACCATTCCTCCATCAGCACTCAGCTAAGGTTCAGGAATTCATTGCAGTGGTCACAAAGAACTCACAGATGATATTCACACTTAGGGGATTTATTAGGGAAGTTGCCGTTGAGTCGGTTCTGACTCAGTGGCCCTCTATAGGGTTTCCAAGGAGCGGCTGATGAGTTTGAACCACCGACCTTGCAATTCAAACTGACCTTGCAGTCTAGCGCATTAACCCACAGCGCCAAGCCAGGATTTAACAGGTTACAATTCAGGATCAGGAACGACTAAGAAGATAGTTCTTCAATCAGGGACACTTCTTCTCATCTGTGACTACTTGCAGGCCTTTCTTTTTGGCTCTCAGCTGCTTGGCCTGCCCTGGCCTGGTCTGGGGCAGGTGTTACAAAGCTCTTTAGCTCTGCTAATAATTGCCTGGAGGGTGCCCCATTCTGTCTGGAGGCCAGCCCAACTTACTCAGCTATCTTACATCTGTGGGTCAGCAAGCCTGAGGTACTCCACTCTACCAGGAAGCCTCCTGCCCGAAGGCACTTAGCTCTCTTGTACTGTGAATGGGCACACCCACTGTAATTGCTTTGCTCTGAGGGCCAGGAAGCCTATTGCACTGTCTTCAGCCAGTCTTTAAATCCTGCTGCAGCCATTTCTTTGCCACTGTTTTTCACCATCTTGTGCCATCTCTGGGGTTACAGTTTGCTCTATCTTCTAGGTAGGTTTAGGAGCCCAGGGAACCTGGTATAAAGGACACACTCACTTTTTCTTGGTGGTAATGAGATCTCAGCCTCATTCTGGGATTGGCTTTTTTTTACGCCTAGTGGAATGGCAAAACTGACTAACCTCCACATTAGGGTTGCATACACCTTATTTACATGAGGAGCTCTGGTAGCTTAGTGGTTACAAATCGGGCTGCAAACCGCAAGGTCAGCACTTAGAAACTACCAGCTGCTCCGTGGGAGAAAGATGAGGCTTTCTGCTCCCGTAAAGATTTACAGCCTTGGAAACCCTGTTCAGGGTCACCATGGGTCAGAACCGACTCAACGGCAATTAGCAACAACAACACCTTATTTGCGTGGTTCCACCTCTACCAGGGTTTCATGCACCTTATTTGCATCCCTAACAGGTTGTCTAATCCCCTTGGTGGGCCACAAATATCATATTTGCATAGTCCTACACAATCATTCATGACTAACTATGGACAGCATTATGGAGAATGAGTATTCCAGAACACTTAATTGTGCTCATGAGGAGTCTGTATATAAACCAAGTTGTTCGAACAGAGCAAGAGAACACTGAATAGTTTAAAATTAAGAAATGTGTGTGCCAGGGCTGTATTCTTTCATCATACCTATTCAATCTGTATGCTGAGCAAATAATTCGAGAAGCTGGATTATATAAAGGAAAACATGGCATCAGGGTGGGAGGAAGGCTTATTTACAACTTATGATATGCAGATGATACAGCCTTGCTTGCTGAAAGTGAAGAGGACTTAAAATACCTACTGATGAAGATCAAAGACCACAGCCTTCAGTATGGGTTGCACCTCAATGTAAAGAATACAAAAATCCTCACCACTAGACCAGTAAGCAACATCCATGTAAATGGAGAAAAAATTAAAGTTGTCAAAGACTTGATTTTGCTGGGATCAACCATCAACACTCAAGGAAGTAGCAGTCAAGAAATCAAACAACGTATTGCTTTAGGCAAATCTGCTGCTCAAGGCCTCTTTAAAGTGTTCAACAGCAAAGATATTAGTTTGAGGAATAAAGTGCATGTGACCCAAGCCGCGGTATTTTCAGAAACCTCATATGCATATGAAACTTGGACAATGAATAAAGAAGACCATAGAAGAATTGATGCATTTGAGTTGTGGTGTTAGAGGAGAATATCAAAAGTTCCATGGACTTCCAAAAGAACAAACCAATCTGTGGTGAAAGAAGTACAACCAGAATGAACTTTAGAAACCAGGATGGCCAGACTTTGTCTCTGATACTTTAGACATATTATCAGGAGGGACCAGTTCCTGGAGAAGGGCATCATGCGTGGTAAAGTGGAGGGTCAGCGACAAAGAGGAAGACCCCCCCAACAAGATGGATTGGCACAGTAGCAGTAGCAATGGGCTCAAGTGTAGCAAGGATTGTGAGGTTGGCGCGGGACGGGGCAGTGTTTTGTTGTGCATAAGGTCACTATGAGTTGGTACTGACTCTGTAGTACTGAACAACAGCAAAACACAATAATTTTGTGGGAGTGACAAAGAATATGACTGGAAGGGTCACCATAAGTGATTCACTGTACCACACATTAACATACAATGTGAAATGCCTTTAGGAGATATAGCTGAGAGACATAACTA